GGCACTCATGCACACATGCCCGGCATGATTTTGAAGCCACCATGTCCAGGACTCGAACCACTGTCAGCTATATGAGACTCCAGTGACAAAACTGCTATGCCATTTGCTGGTTCCAGGGCAGCGTTTCTGGAAGGGTGGTCCAAGAACCTTCCGTGTCTGCCTTAGAGCCACCCAACCTGTCAGCCCTGCAGGTGTCTGGTCCACGGTACCAGGCCACGTCTCGGGAGGAAGCCAGGCTAGCAAAGCCTGGTCTGCCTCCTGCCCACTGGCATTTCCTGTCCATTGTCCTTGGCCACCCAAGGCTCCTTGCTTCAGTGGCTGTCTAGCTTGTGCTCTAAGCCCCCTGCAATTCTGCGCCAGCAGCTCTGCCGCACTGCCCACTCACTCGGCAAACGTCAGCTCTGCGGACGTCAGCCCGAATTTCCACCCTGACCGCCTCGCCTTCGACCACCCTCCTACTTACCAGAGGGTTCTGAGCGCCAGGCGAGAGTCCTCCAGGCATCGGTATGCACACATCTGCCCACAGGGCCCCCTTTCGTCCAGACCCTGAACCCCCAGCCCTCCTCAGAGTCGCAGGCCTGGCCGTTCGGTCACTCCCTCCCAATCACAGGCTCCCCTCTGGCCCTGCCCCCTTCTCCCAATGGAGTTCACGTGGGCATCAGGGAGGCGGCCACCATGGAATGTGAGCCCCATTGTCTGTAAATCCTGGCAGAACAAGACCCGTGTCCACGCAGCCTTTCCAGATTTCCCTGCAGGCGTTTCTAGGATCTGAAAACAGAAACCAGGGCAGTGAGCTCCCACTCACCCACCCGGCCACAGCGACGGGACACGTGGGCGCTCAGACTTGGGAGGAAAGCCGCGACAGGCAGCAGCTTGCATCTCCAACGATGAGCGCGTGCTTCCAAACACGGCCTCCGTGCCCTGTGACAACTGCACCCACAATTCCTCACTTCTCTCAGCGCCAATCCAGGGTTCACATTCCCAGTTGTCTCAAGGATGTCTTTTCATAGCTGGGTCGTTAAATACAGAATTCAAACTCACCATTCTCTCTCTCTTGTTCTGTTTTGTTTTTTAAAAGAGAATTATTTAATTTAACTTTATTTATTGTTATTTTTAATGTGACCAGAGCGAGACAGAAGGAGAGGGAAAGTGAGAGTGTAAGCTGCCAGGTCCGGACTGAAACCGGGGTCGCCGGTGGGGAGTCCACTGCCTTTAACCCCCGCGCCACCTGCCGGCCCTCTCCGGTCGCTAAACCATGACAGGTTCCTCGCCTGTACTTACTGATTTTACACACTGACGCCCTGGGCCATCTGCTACATACAGTGTCCCTGGCACTCCGCTGGGGTGACCGTGGCCCTCCAGTGCTGATAACCCGGACTCCGCCTCCCGCGCTGGCACCGACCTGGTGCTCAGATCGAGGCTGGGCCAGACGCAGGGGCAGCCCCTCTCCCAGCCCTCCGCTGGTCTGCCACAGCCACTTCACCCATCCAGAAACCGCTCTCCATCCAGCAGCAGAGTGGGCACCTGCAAAATCGAACACGCGGATGGTGTTCTTTGCTCAACACTGATGACCTCTCACTGACCTTCAGGTGAAGGCAGAAACAGGAACAGCCCCAAAAGCAGCACCACGCAGAGGGCGCGGTCTCGCCTTTCCCCACGACAGCATTCCCACCGCAAGGAGAGAACCCGAACGCCACCGTCGGAACAGGAAGGGGTTTTCGTAGCCCATGAATGCCAAGTGTTGAGGCAGGATGGCCTTCGGAGCAGGACGCAGCAGCTCGACTTTCCTTAGCAAGGAAGGTGCCTTCTCCATCTCTGTTACCCACGTGGGGCCAGCGTTGTCCAGAGAAGGAAGGAGCCACGGCAGGGCCAGCCTTCCCCGGGTCAGACGGCACTCGGGACGAAGTCGGAGCGAGGAGACTTTCCTTGGGAGTGCCCCAGGGACCCGTCTCAGTTGCCGGAACTGGAGCGTGTGCACACAGCTGAGCCGACCACTGGGGAAGGGGCTCCTTCCCTGAGGGTGAGGTGAGGTCCCCTGAGGCAGGAAGCTGTGTTAGGGGACATTGGATTCCTGAACAAAACGGGGACCCTGCTGCGAAGGAGGGGGTGCAGGGGCGCTGGGCGGCCTGTCTCTTACCTAGAGGCTCTCAGTGGGCTCCGCACCGACAGTGTCTTCTTCCCTGTCCTCATCTGCAGCTCTTTTCTGTCCCAGGAGGGCCTCCCCAAGGAAAATGCAGTACCCCCCACCCCCAACCCCGTTCTCAGCTGAAGCCTCACTTCCTCTTGGCTCCTCCCTGACTTTCCTGATCAGAGCCTGGGTCCCTGCTGTCACCCACGGCGCCTTCAGCACCAGAGCCCTCCTCCGGCTGAGGCTGTGGTTGGTTTGTGCCGGTATTCCAGGAGCGCGCCAGGGCAGGCGGGCTGCAGGGCTCGCTTAGCACGGTGCCTGCACGCACTGACCTCCAGAATGAAAGCCAGCGTACCTCGCACTGTGCGGACGGAGATGGGACCAAACGTGGGGTGACCGATTCCATCAGGGAGACTACCCGAGGGTCTTACAATCTGTAGGCCCAACTGGGAAACCGTGGGAGTGGGAGGGCCACCTTAATCGTTAAGCTGGGACACCAGCGTGCAAACCCGGACACGCTGTCACCCTGTCTCGTGGCATTGCCCTGGAGGCTTTCCAATAGCTCTGAAGGCGGGAATACCGTGTGTGTTTCCGAAGGACCACACGAGGGTAGCTCCCTGGACTCCCAAGAAAACCTCACTTCTCTCTGTTTCTGTTTACGAAGCTCTGGGCCACAACAAGCTTCTCCAGTACAAATCTGAGTCCCAGTTTGCATGAAATACCGAGAAATAGGCTTCCTTGTTCACTGTTGAGAGCGCAGGCTGATCCCTTTCTAGAGAACACCTTGGCAGTGTCTTCAGGAAAGTATACGCCTTCAACCTAGCAATTTGGTGTCTAGGAATTTATACCACAGAATAATCAGATAACACCCAAAGATATTTGTACACGAATCTACTGGAGGGCCCAGCAGGTGGCATGGTGGTTAAGGGCGCTGGACTCCCACGTGACTGACTACAGTTCAAGTCCTGGACCTGGCGGCTTGCTTTCTC